TTCTTGGCTGGTGTACAACAAGACCACTCTAAGGGCAAGGAAAAGATAAGCAGCACATTGGAATGCTTTGCTTCAAGAATTTTAATTTTGATTAAATTATTACACACAGAATCTCTCCAAGCAAATTTTGAGGGTTTTCACACATCTTTGCAAAAGCAACAGTCATCAAAATTTAAAGATCATCCTATACAAACTCCATCTTTTTGGATCAGTGTGATTTCTTCACCACTTGCTCAAGTTCCTACATTTTTAAATCCAATATCAGGTCATGCTAATATGAAATAAGAATGCTGGAAAATAATGTTCACAGTGACACTTTTATTCCAGAGCTCACTTACACTGGCAGAACTGTAAAACTAATTATGGAAACTCTACAGCTCTTCCACCTCTGTCATGTTTTGCTCTCTTCTTAAATGTCAGTTCCTGTCTAGCCTGCAGCAAAGTCTTCTGAACAGATCCCACATTTTTCACTCAAGAGCTCCAGTGACTCACTCCTGCTATCTGCCAAGTTGGGGAGCTCTCAATCCCATTATCTCCCAGTTTCCCCTGCTTAGACATTCACACAGAACTGCAAAAGGAGAGAAAGCCTCTTGCATGACTGCCTGCTCATCTGACCAGGGTTCAGGCAAAGGGCCTGTGAAGGGAAATAAGTCTTGCTAGCATAAATAGTTTTATTTTGGGACCTCTAAGGAAGCCTTAGTGCTTTTTCCTGGTGGATAGTTGCTCCGTTGGATGGAAGGGAGCTCATGAAGGTGGCCAGTCTAGCATGGAGATTTGTGGCCATTTAGGACAGTAATTTAACACAAATGATACATAAACAAGAAAGAAAAAGCTATGTAATTTAACTAAAAGCTGGGTATTTAGAAAAAAAAAATACTGAAAAAAAATCCTACAGTTTTTATTTACTTCTGCAGTGCCACAAAGGAATGTTTATAGACCACTGCTGCTTGCCTTGGCTAAATGAGCAAAGGATGCCCAAGGGAACACAGCTCTCACATCCACCAGCAACCCTGAAGGTCTTTCCCAGCAGGTTTGCACACGCAGACATGACTTTCAGTAAGGAAGCTAGAAGTGCTAATCATCCGTTACTTCTCCAAGCCAGAGACAATGGTAACTATCTGTAAACCTGCAGTGGGAAAGCTCCAGTCACCTTAAGTCACTGGAAATGAAGGTCTAAGACTCGACATAGCCTCAGGGCTACACTGTGTAACAGGGATGCTCAAACAAACAATGCAAGACAGTGCAAAGTGGATTGATGTTCTGATTTATAACTGTCCCTTCAGAAGTACCTGTAAGTGGTCACTTGTGCAAACAGCTTAGCTTCAAAGTTCTTCCTGCTTAAGGTTTTTTGATTTGCTTCACACATTTTTAAAATGTCTTTAATGTTTTTTGGATTCCCTGTGAAAGTGCACATGAACTGGAAGAGTTCTGAAAAGAGTGAGAAGGAAAACTAACCCCTTTTTTTTGTTCTTTTGTGATGTGCCAGACTCATCACTAAAATGGGTCTCTTCCTCTGTACCTCAATACCCTCCTTCCTGCTAATTTTAAACCTGAAGGAGAAGAAACAGGTTGACAACTTTGCCACAGCCAAACAATCTCCCTTCTCTCAATTTCCTACCTTTGTGAGAAAATTGCTATCTATCATCCTTTGAAAAGTGGACTGCATCCTGTGGAGGAGCGAAGCACTATCAGTGTTTATCTGTATTATAACACCTAAAGGCCTCCAACAAGAGATACATGTTCTCTGTAAGCACATTACAGCTCGCACACCCAAAAAGTGTGTGCCCAAAGTCCTGAAATACAAAACAAAGCAGAGGAGAAAAAAATTTTCATCATCTTGATTCTACAGATGGGGAACTAAGCCGTCTCAGAGGAGAGTTCTAAGAAATGGATGAACTCCACAATACAGGGTCTGATCTCCCCCTCTCTTCCCTACCATGTGCGTCAGGACAAACTGAATTCGGAGAATGACACTGGAAATAAGGGAAAACTATTTTGTTTCCCAGTTCTGCTGCAATCTTCTTGTATGCTATTACTGCTAGCAATAAAGAAATAGATTAAAGTCATCCAAGACACAGCTAACGCCAAACAGAAAAGTCATGAGAACTCAAAAGCAATTCAAGGGAACAACACAGAAAAGGAAGAACACAATTAACTGTGGCTTTGGGGACAAAAGTGTCTGTGAATATGCAACATCCACAAACTTCAGTGAGGATTTTGAATGCCCAAGGAGAGAACATTCCCACTTCCACCTGGTGATGAGGGTATGAGTATACAGAAAAAAATGAATATACAGAAAAATTAATTCTTTCAAGGACATGTGATTTGCCTTCAACAGTCCATACAACCATGTAGATCCGCCTGGCTTCAAGAGATCAGAATTTTTAAAAGCATGTATAATCTGCAATAAGGTGTGTCATCCAACAGTGATTACTGAAAACAGAAGAAGATTCAAGCTTAATTTGTCCAAAGCACAACTCCACTGTTTTTCTACCTCGGCCATAATTCAATTTTTTTTTGAGTGAAGAAGCAACTTTCAAACCTGTATACTTGGAAATAATGCTATATGACCACCTGTGTATTGGGATCCCATTTCCAAGGTGGCTAAAATTAAAATGGCCTCCTAACTCTGACTGCAGACTCGATTTGGGAGTGCTAGCAAACAATTATTGTACAGATCAGCGATTTCTGAAACTCAGTTAAGTCAATGTGCTCCACATGGCCACATTGATCCCAGATGAAACTCGGCCATTTATAACCGTGCTGAACCATTAAACAGCTCCTAGAGTTACTGGCAAAATCAAGGAGTTATTAATTGCAGTCCTTATAACTGAGTCAATAGCCTAAAACCCAATCAGAGTATTTTAGACTTTTTCACAGCAAAGGTTACTGCAGAGTGATGAAAGAGCAGGAAAGAGCTACACCTCCGGTAAGAACTTATTTCCTCTGCATGTATCCTTAGGAAGAGATCCTCACTTCAGACCTCTCTGGTACATGCCACCTCTGAGACAGTTACTTAAGGAGGAGCTGTAGGAAGCAACTCAGTTACAAACCACCTTCTAGGTAGACTCAAGACAGCAGAGGATGCCAGGGTTCATACCTCTCCTGAATTTTCCTTCATTGCTTGTTTTGTTAGGAAGGGGATTCAGCCTTTACACTACAGACTCTCAAACAGTAAAAGTCACACACCAGCTTAAGCAGGGACTGATTTTTTTCCCGTCCTGTTTGTATTTCATTTGCCTCCTCTATTTTTTTAATCTGCAAATAATTTGTGTTTTTTCTGTCTTCACTGCATTACTAGTACTCTTTTTAGAAAGAAACCTGATGAAATGCACCCTGGGGATGTGCTGTCCCATGGTGGATCACGGACCCGAGGCAGGTGTCCCACCACCTCAGAGCCCAGCCGCGGGCACAGTGCTTGCACGTGGCGTGGCTAACGAGAGGACAGCGTGCAGCCACAGGGACTGACTCGCTCTTGAGTTGTCCCTGCCCGTGAATTTAAGAATGTGGAACCTAGAAATTCTCTGGCTGTCTATGGGCCTTCGTCTGTTCCAGCCTTCCTACACAAAGGGGTCCTTTTGTCAATGATATTTCTTGCATTATGGTGGTGGTTAAAGGAAGTGTGTAGGAGAACACAGAGAAAACCTTTTTTTGGTTAGTGTAGCATATTTGCCTCTCTCTGTTTCAATCTAATCACATCCATAAATTAATTCTCTTAAAAAGCTGAAGAGTACTTTTACTTGAGAATGGGAACAGGAACAGAGACCAATACAACAAACAGAGGGCAGAAAATTAATTGTGTGCTCATGGATATGCATTCTTCAGAGAAAGGGCTGTCTTAGTAACATAGAAAAGCAGGAGCCAAGGGATACAGATTCTGACTCTTGTTCTGATAGGAACCTCCTACACAACTATAAGTCACCTCCCCTAATCTCTGAAATAACGTTACAATTTATCAGTGGTGTCTACCAAGAAGAATGTGGAAAATTTTTTTTCTTTTTTTCCCAAATCACATTGAGATGTCTGGATGGACACCCTAGACAAGTGTGTGTTATTGCTCTAATATTGCCTGCAATGACAGAACTTACTGCTGTGTTTAAGGTTAGGAAGGCAATGGAAACCTTGACTTTGGTAGCTTCTGGAGGCATGGTATTAATGCCTGCCTCACAACACTTTTTTCCAGCGTAGAAAAGTGGAACAATAAGGTCCCATTTATTTCACTTTTATTTTTTAAGCTTCTGTGCTTTTTTGCTCTTTCCTCAAGTTATTTAGGTCTTCATCATCTCTGCAGTGTACAATAGTGCCTTGCTCTAAATAAACATTTGAAAATTTCAGAATAAGCATACTATATTCTGATTAAAATATTTTCATCAATATTATAATCATTAATATATATTAATTATATTTTCTGTGTTGACCGTGAGAGTAAGAACAAGGACATCTGTGTAAGTGAAACAAGAGGATGGGGAAAAAATCATCACATGAAATACAGCTAAGTGGTAGTAGCAAATTAAAATCAGAGTGAACAGATGTAAACCTAACATTAAGACTCCATTTCAGGCACCCAATCTTTGCATATATCATAATGCCTAAATATACCTTCAAGAACACACAGAGCACATCACAATAGGGATGGAAAGGCTTTACAGACTCACAAATATTGGCTTAGGGCATCTTGCTGGTACAGAAATTCAAGGGAATAACTCTCTAAAGATAATTCTCATGTTCTTGCAGGTTTTGTTCTGGTTATTGGACTGGTGACTTTCTACCGCCCCCACCCTCTCTGGGTCTTGCTATCGGAACATTGGAGCCTGTCTTTTGGCCACGCTGGCAGCTGCCATTCTCATCTGGAACATCCTTCACAGGCGTGAGGACTGCATGGCACCCCGGGTCATCGTCATCAGCCGGACCCTGACCGCCCGGTTTCGCCGGGGCCTGGAAAACGACTACGTCGAGTCGCCGTGCTGAGAGGGGGGACTGGAGAGGGACTGATCTCCCAGGAGATCTGCAGTGGAGTTGTTTTTTATAAATATATACTATAATTTAAAGCTAAGGGTTGGAAGACATCACAAAGCTCACTCCTGTGGGCAGAGGCCCTCAGTTATTTGGATGGGCTCCATCTATATACATATGTATAAAACACATAATTTTATATATATATATATTATATTATATATTCTATTACCCTCTCCCTCTGCTGTACAGCACAGAATGTTGGATTATCAGAATCCTGACAGAGCATCACAGCCACATGTCAGCAGGGTCAGCTGTCGCAGACACGGAATGTATGCAATGAGAATATAGAAAAGAGGCAACCAAACGTTTTCTCTGTCTGCATAAAGTTATCCTGCTCCCTAATAATAATGTAAAAAGCTATGAGAGAAATGTGACAATAGCTTCAGAGTTAACAGGCAACCTAGGAAAGCTGAAAACTCACTATAGATTAAGTAATGATTTTAACAGCTGTTTAAGTCTCATGAATCTTTAGTCCTTCCTCTCTTCAAGAAGCTTCTCCTTAGCTGTGCTCCCCAGCCACAGCACAGCCCTGACAGTGAAGAGCAAGAGCAACGCTAACCATTCTAATTGTAAAGTAAGGGAAAAAAGAAGAAATAAGATGCATTTTTTCAGGCAGTTCTTTTGTTTGGGTTTATTCTATATGCAAACAGATATGCCATTAAAAATTAAAAGGGTACGCAGCTAGAACAGGCTACACGTGTTGCTGAAAAATCTGCTTCAGTGTTACAATGAGGGCAAATATCTACAAAAGAAGGTTACCTGGACTTTCTAATAATCACAGATACTATTAACATACATTATTGGAAAGTATTATTAAGAACAGGTATTTCAGCTCCAATTAATTTCTTTTCTTCATGTCTTGCTTTACCATTTGCTGTGAGACTTGCAGATCAGAGTCCACGCCAGGGTACCCAGCTCTGCCCAGCACTGCTCAGGGGCACACAGCACAGGGAACCCTGGCGAGTGGAACTGCCACTCAGGCACTCAAATTGGAGAATAAGACACGTATGCAGGACTTAAACATGAAATTTAAAAATGACCTGCCTGGCAACTTGCTATGGTAATGAAATGAAAATGATCAGTATGTTTGGAATTAGGTATTCTGTTTATAAGCCTGACCCTGAGAAGCACATGGGCTCACAAAGGTCATGTGCATGTAACTGAGGAAGAAAAACAACAGGTCAAAAACTACTATGTAGAAACACAGGGGCAATATCAGATGCTCAAAAGCTCTAAGGATGCTACTCTGAGCACAGTTACTGATAGGCTTGAACGGCTATGAGCTCTGAATGTTACAGATTCTTTAGGACTGTTGTGTCACTCCAGCTGAGTACACCACTTTTCCTCTCTGTCAGTATTTCCACCATACTTTTCCACACTTTGTTAAAATGTGATCATCAAGCTGGCTCTTGAGTTCTGTTCTGCACTCAGTTCTGATGTAACAAGAAACTCAACCCCAACTTCTGCTCCTGCACCATGTTCAAAGTGAGCAACACTCTGCAGAGACTGAAGCTCTAGAACAACTGCATTGTTCTAGACTATCAGGGTAGAATACCATAAAGCTGACAAAGAGTTTCTTCTAGCAGTAGGTTTGTAAAAACCAACTAAGATTTGTATTCATTTGCCTGCATTACTTTCTGGAAAATGTTTTCTAGAAATAATATGCTATGATTAATTGCAGGTTTTTTTAAAAATAAACTATTGGAATATTTAAAAGACATTATATTATTTCTTCTAATATTGCAATATCCATATTATAATAATGTACATTTAAATTTAAAAATCAGCTATGTGGTGGGCAAATTTCTAATACTCCGTATTACTGTGATTATTTTAGATGTATAAATAAAGTTGTGAATGTTCATTTTCTTCTAGTGATAACGTGAGATTTTTGCCTTTCAGACACAGAATAAGATTGCTTGTTATCAATCATTGTTTTCCCATTCAGTAAAAAAGAATCCACAAAACTTGCAACATCTGGTAGACAAACAATAAGCAGAGAATATATTAAAATGTCTGCAGGATAAAGATATTTTATCTTGTTAAAAACAAAAAGGAGAATGAAATCAGAGAGGAAAAATGTAAGAAGTATTTAGAAGGATCAGAAGTTTATACAAACTTTTAATAAAAATAAACTGCACCCAAACAGAAATACCTACAAATACTTATGATACCTTTTTATAAGCTTGATGGCTTTGAAGGCCTCATCCATGTCTCCAGCAGTCAGGTAGAAGCTGAAGTTCAGCATGGCATCCCGGGTAGTCTTATCACACTCTCCTAAGCCAGCGAAATCTCTCATGGGTCTCCTCACAGCCATCTGCGAGACGTTAATTGAGTCAGACTCTCCTTGTCCCTCCTCAGCTTCTCCCAGCTAAAATGAGAATGTAATAAGTTAGGTATCAAGTAGGTTGAAACTTACTCCATTGTACATGTAATTTACTACATTATTTTCTCTACAATCCAAGTTTTCTGTTTGTGCAGGACCATGATCAATAGTGACAAGAGCTGCAGAGTTTCAGAACTTCCTAGAAAATGCCACAAAACATGGAATGTTATAGATGATATTAGCATATCATAATGAACAGTCACAGGACACCAGTGACAGTCTGGAGACTGGAGAAACACCACAGGAGAGGCAGGCTCCTATTATTATAGTAATTATTACTATTTTATATATAGTAGTATGATGACTCTATTTTTGAGTCCCTACATGTGTGGAGATTTCAGATAAATACTTCTCTAAGGTTGGTCTTTTCTCAAAAATAAGTCTGCTGTTCTGAAAGTTAACTATATAAACCAAATTCTTCTATTCTTGCCTTCATGTGAAACTTAGGAATACCAAAGTCCAGATCCAAACCCTGTCCCATGCAACTGGCAGTTCTGGAGCCTCTGGAGCTTCAGTAAAACCTTCACCAGTCACTGAAAGGCAGCTCAAAGCAATTTAACCATTATTCATAAAAAAAAAGGAATAAAGTTAATCATCAATATAAAATGATCTGTCTTGAGTGTAACAAGGAAACTTTCACAAGCCAGAGCAGAAGATCACTTGAGTCATGAAGGAGATAAAATCTCATATATACTCTATTCCAACTGTGTAGTTAGATAACTAAATATTAAGGTTATAGAAGCCAATTAAAAAATAGCATGATATTATTACACAACATAAGTATTAGATACATTAAAAGACAGAAGTCAAAAGTGCAAATGTGTTTATCTAGAATTTAGGGGATTTCTGAAACCAGGACAGAAAAGATATTATAATAGTGGAATGAAAGTTGGTCAAAACAGATTTGCTACTTCAACTCAGTTTACTATATTTAAAGCAGATTCTGTTCATATACTCAATCATATTTTCCAAACTAATTGCTATCTAACAAATAGTTTAGTCACTAAGATGCAGTAACCTACCGAGGGAAGAAAACAGAAACAGAAGAGAGAAAAGTAGAGAATGAAGAGGAACAAAATAATGCAGATACTTACAGGTTTATAGACACATCCCCTCCGATAAAACAACTAATGGCAGCAATAATCCATATGGAGTTAAAGAAAAAAAGAGATGTAATACCAAAGCAAAATAGCATGAGACGTAACGGGGACGTGTTAGAAGGAAGATTGGAAAATGCAGCAGATCAACTTTGACCTATTCTTTTGAATAAAGGTACATTCTCCCTGTTTAACACTGCTCCTAAACTATATGAAATTAGACTTAGATGCTCACATTGGTCTTATTCAGAAGATTTAGAGGATTATTAATTAGGTGTCATTAATATAAGTTCTTGCAGATTTTACAAAAATAAATGCTTTGGCAGAATGAACAGACTCCATTAAACTCCCCCTGCAAGAAGGAAGTAGTGCAAATCACCATCTTAACAGGCACCAAGACACTCAAGTCAGAGCTTAACCAGAACACAAATCTGTAGGTAACAGGCTTCATTTCTTCCAGTATGCAGGGAAATATATGTGGTATTATTCAATTTTGGATTCATATTCAAGTTCAAGAAGCTAAAGCATATATACCTGTTATTTGTGGCACACAGGCTTTTGGTGATAGTGCAAGATGAGTGTTATTGCTCACTTTGGTATTCTGTGGGGATTAAGCTCCATTCCAACAAGGAAATGGTTTGTTTCTGCTGAAGCTAATAGGAAATGTTTCCTCTTATGGTCCACGTAAAGTTCACACACACACACACACACACACACACATATTAGAATTAACTTTATGTCATTTCTACATGTGATGCAGCAACTGCCATTGGAGTTGCTCCACTTACTCCAGACTCAATTTGGCTAAATTTGAGGCCTACACAAGGAAAAATCTGAATTTACAGGACGGGAAGGAATTATAAAAGATTTCCTCACCTTTTTTGCAAAGTAATAATGTGGCACTTCTATGCCCATAAGAACCTGGTAGGACGAAGGCAATGGGAAGCTCTCCTGAAGCAGAAGGCCATGCTCTTCAGTACTGAAGAATGATATAATCCAATCCTTCATCTGGAAAAGGAAGCAAAGCATTGTTTTGTTTTTATGCTGCAATATCCTTCTTTCATTTTGTTTTTATTTTCCATATTGACTTGGCAGAACCTTCTCTTGAAGATAACATGGGATGCACATCCACAGGCACACACCTGCTGGTGAGGGCAGGGCTGCACGCTTCCTCCCACAGTGAGTAGCCAACAACTCATTCTGCATTGCAGACTGTGTTCCTACTGCAAAGGGACCTCCACCTCTGCCTTTCAGGAGCCAACTTCACCAACCATGAAGAGGGAAGTCCCTGGCCAGAGACCAGTACTCTAGAAGTCTCTGTGACAGATCTGACTCAGGTCAAAGAAATACTCCCAGCTGTTTTCAAATATATTTTTTATTTTAATTCTCTATTATTTCTATTAGAATTTCAGCAGCTCATTGACTCTTTTGAGTTCCCAGGGGATATACCAGCCATTTAAAAATAGTTTCTGTAACTGTTTCTGTTCCTGACCTAACTCAAGTCAAAATAAAGCAATTATTTCCAATTAAAAACAATAAGATTTGTAATCTCTTAAAGGATAAGCATGCAGTTAAAAATTCTACTGTATAAGGGCCAAAAAGTAAGTTGCACTCCTTTTACATCTTTTTACTTTTCAACTTTATGTAGAGGCCAAACTTTTTTACATTAGGAATATTAAGTTGAAGTGCTCTTCTCTTTGCTAGGAGACCATCTCATCCTCTTTTGAGACATCCCTATTCCATTCCTCCTTTCTACCTTGATCTTGATCTTTCCATGATTTTTCTAAAGTCATTTCAACCAACAAAAGAAACAAAGAACTTTCTACCTCCAATTGGAAGTGGTTTAACTAAAACTATACACAAATCAGTAAACTTTAAATCAACATGGACAGTTCAAATCAATGGAGTATTTATAAAGGGAGGGGAGTTATGTACAGACAAAATGGTAAGGACTGCTAGAAGCACATAAGTAGAGGAAGCAGGGTCTGATGAAAGAATGCTTTCAACATTTTATTGATCATTTTTGTTCAATAAAACCAAAATCTTTTTTCTAAAGTAAAAAAGACCATAAAAGACAATTTGGGAAGTACCATAAAGATGTACAGTGTCTGTCCAGCAAAGCAGAAGATGACAACTGCTGGGTGGGAAGAATGTACTTCAATGTTCACCATAACAGTAGGGTGCCTGTTATTCTATCAAATTAATTCTTGCTGCTGAAAGTGGACTCAAGTATAAAATCTGCATAATTTTTTTAAAAGAGAGAATAAGTATCTGGATTATCAATCCACCCATTAATGTCACCTGTAAAGCTGTAGTCCAGATACAAGCTTGCATTATGATCATCCTCAGAATTCTACCACAGATAAAGAAATCATCTCCTTTTCTTCATCACTGTATTCAAGCGAGGGCTAAACCAGAGAGCTAATATATATAGTGACTGCCTGAAGCCACAGACACCAAACACATACTTGCACTACTCATTGTTGGTACAAAATAAAGTATACTACCTACTCCCACGTCCTTAATGAAGGATCAATGATTTATTACTTGGACAGGGAGAACTCTATTCTACCCTCTCTATTCTGCATTGGTGAGACCACATCTGGAATATTGTGTCCAGTTCTGGGCCCCTCAGTTCAGGAAGGACAGGGAGCTGCTGGAGAGAGTCCAGCGTAGGGCTACAAAGATGATGAGGGGAGTGGAGCATCTCCCTTATGAGGAAAGGCTGAGGGAGCTGGGTCTCTTTAGTCCGGAGAAAAGGAGACTGAGGGGTGACCTCATCAATGTTTACAAATATGTAAGGGGTGAGTGTCAGGAAGATGGAATTAAGCTTTTTTCAGTGATGACCTGTGATAGGACAAGGGGTAATGGGTGCAAATTGGAGCATAGGAGGTTCAAGGTGAATATCAGGAAAAATTTTTTCCCTGTGAGGGTGCCGGAGCACTGGAACAGGCTGCCCAGAGAGGTTGTGGAGTCTCCTGCACTGGAGTCATTCAAAACCTGCCTGGACGCCTTCCTGTGTGATGTACTCTAGGTGGTCCTGCTCTGGCAGGGGGGGTGGACTAGATGATCTCTCGAGGTCCATTCCAACCCCTATGATTCTATGATAACTCCATGTAAAGCAGTATAAAACAAACAGATAAAAAGAACATACTGTGCCTTCAGTCTGGTTTTTCTCCTGGTCTGGAGACTGTAGGCCTGTTTCAAGAATTGCTTCACATACAAAAAGTGTTGGTTCACTCTGGTCCCAGAAATGGCAAGCAGGGATGTGATTGTGTAACACTGGGTACTCCACAAGAGACCTACCAAAAGAGAAGGAAAAAAAATAAATATAGAAAGAGAGACAAAATAATTCTCTCTCATTCAGTGCATGAATGTAAATAAAGATCCATCATCTGAAAATTATCCCTTGATCAGTTATCTATACCAGTACCTCATCATACACATTAACCATGGGTACAGGAAATAAAGCATTTTTGTAGGAAAAAAAGATGGTACTGCCTCAAATACAAATAGGCATCCAAAATCTCCCTCCAGAGATGTAATCACTGAGATTACATGTCCTACAGGAACACCTGAACATTCTTCCAGTGATGCACCTTAGCTCATGGTACTGGTGCAGGTACTGTAACATGAAGACTACCTCAGCTCTATCTTCTTGCAAAGAAGATTTGTTAATTTCTTCTTTAAACTCTTTCTCAGGATGCCTACTGCCAGCTCTGCTAGAAACACCCAGAGAGCTCAAGTACATCGATGGGCATTTAGACAAGCAGTAAAAAGAGAGTTTATAGTATGTGTGTCTCACACCAAATCCAGCTAAGCAGCCTTCATAAGAGAACACAAACAGACAATTGTGATTAAACTGATGGGGTAAAAAATAAGAAATTAGTTTATATTCTCATGCAACATATCTTTCTCTACTGAGAGTTCAGCAGAGACCTGTGCACAGTGTGATTGATGCTTTGAGCTGCTCAGCTTCTCAGTGCTGGAAGAAACTCCAGAGCTGCAGCTGAACTTGGCCTGCAGCTGGAGATTTCAGTCTCTAGACATGCCACGGTTCATTCCCTTTGCTCAGTACTGTGCTTGAACATCATACAGTGTATGAAGAATTCCAGGGCAGCACAGAAACCATCCCTGCAGCCTCAGGCCACTCTCTGGCAGCAGCTAAATAAGAAACAACTTACTACCTCCTTCTGGCATTTAAATACTGCTTCAGAACTGGTCATGTTAAGACTCTAGCCATACAGAATCAGATCATTTTGGCAATGGCTTAGGATTCTTCTGAAAAAATACAGAATATAAATAGGCGTCAAATTTTTTTAAAAGGGAGAAACCAAAGACATAATTAAAATAGCTTTCTCCTTTGCTGTCACCACTGAAGGGTGGACTTTGTGCAGAAGAATGAGGCAGGGCTGGAAGGCAAATTAAGGGAGAGATTCAAAGGGATGCAGAAATACAGTGTCCTATCCATGCCACTGGATCAAAAATACTCAAACTGAAAAAGGGTATTTGTTTAAAAAATTTGGACTGTTTAGATTCTACCTAAGGAGGAAAGAAAGAGAAAGAAGGGGAAGGTTATTATCTTATGATAGTAGATTATTATTTTATTGTCTGTTTACTCATTCCAATTTCAAGACATTTTCAAATAACAAAAGATAAACAGACTATTCACAGGACCCTGTCTAGCATTTAAATATCAGTGCAATGGCATTACTAGCTTGTGGTGGCCTCTGTGGGCTGCACAAGATACTGCACTTGAAAACCAACTTGTTCACTATTATGCTGTTTGCATAACTGACAAAGATACAAGGCCCCAAATTTGCACTGTCCTTAGTTTTTGATGAGTTGGGGAGTTTCTTCTGTTTTTTGGTGATAAGGAGAGTAAATCCTTTTTTTCTTGTAATACCTATAGCAGGTAGTTGCTAAAAAAGCAAACTGCCTTCTATTCTAATGCTGGTTTGTCTGAAGAAAAATACAGTCAGGAAAAATTACTGTAGAACCAGATGGGAATTTGTACCCTAAAATTCTCATGGAAGCATGGTGGAATTCCTTGTTCACTGCATTTTGCTGCCTTGCTACTGTGATTTCTAATGTATCACAGAACAGCTTGTATGAAACCAAAGCTGTCAGTACTAAATAGACATTTCATGAGGTTTTATCCATACAAAAAGATCCTGTATTGGACTTAAAAATTAACATGTTTTCCCAGAAGGAGCTTCAGAACATCATCTTTTCAGTTACTACCCTGTAAACTCTCCATGGAAGAGTAGTTTTCCAAGATTTTCCAAATTTTTTCTTCATTTTAAGATCTGGATCCAAATTGTAGTCATACACCTCTATGAATCCCCACCCCAATACCCAAGCATCTTCCTCTCAGAGACCTCGAGTCAGATATGGCTTCCATACATCTAATAACTCTCACTGCATTTCTCTTCTATGAATTTGTCCAATACCTCCATGAACCTTTCCTTCAGTTCCTATAGAATTTCCTCTAGCAAAGAGTTCCTTAGTTCAGCTGTGTGTTGACTGCAGAACCACCTGCCCCTGCTTATTCTGAGCTTGCTCCCTGATACCTTTGTTGGACACCCCCTAGTTCATATATTGGAAGAGACAGTGATGCAGGTTGGTTGACGTATAACACACCAGTTTTAATTAATTCTTTAGACATATAATAATTAATTTCATAAAAGCTCCTATACAAAGCCAGACAAAAGTCAGTATCAAGGTGTTGCTTGTCTTCATAAGGGTAGATTCTTATCTTAAACCCACAACTAATACTTCTCAAAATAAAATCTTATTACTTGTCAATGCCTTGTCCAGAAGAAAGTTTCTCTCTACCATTTCCCTGTTCAGCCTTGAAATCAAAGAGTGTAACTTTGTTCATTTCAACGTCATAGAAACAGATCTTGGAATCAATGTTCCCATCCGCCTACAAGAAGGGAAAACAAAAATTGCTGAAGCATTCAGTCAAAAAGGAAAAAAGGTACATTTATCCCACCCGACTCACACTCTCAGTTTTGTTTACTGGCAATCACACAAGAACATTCTTTGGAAGAAGTATCAGAAAAATTTTTGCTGTTTTTCTATTCTAGCAAGTTAGCCTTTGATTTCTTGGAAATGCTACAAAGCAGCTTTTGTAACTAAAATACTGCTTCATTCTCTGGCTTGTTATTCTCCCCAAACACACAAAACCTTAACATAGCTTAATTTCAGTGTTTAGTTTGGACATGATATTTCAAGATCAAATACACTGCACAGGACATGTAGGTTTATTTCTGAGAAGGGAATCTTGTGTCTTCAGTAATCTTGAACTGTGCCAGCCTATGAACTGATGGTCAGGCCCTAGGGCAGTAAGTGGAGCTTTGCCTCACCTTGCTAACGAGGACACTGACTTTATTGCCATTAGCATTGCATTTGACAGATGCAATACCCCCAAGGCCAGGAAACAGCTCCGTGAAACTCTTGCTATTGCAGTGCACTTTTGCCTCTCTGTGGAAAGGAATAAACTTAAATCATATGGTGGCAAGCAACTAGCAACACACATCAGCCAAAACATTTTTCAGATTATGGGTAGGACTTCTAAAAACAAACTATTTCTATCTTATGACACCACTGCCCCAGACTCCAGCTTCCTCTCCAGAGAATTGCTGCAAGTGCCTTTCTTTCAGGAAGAAGTTAATG